CCATGAATTGTAGTCGTATATAAAGTGGCTTCTTGTTTACAGACAGTGAGTAGTCCTTTTCCGCTTTCTTTGTCATGTGTTTCTTGATAAATTTGTCAGGATAACCATTTTCGATCAAAGTATCATATACAATACTTAATTCATCTTCAATTACTTCTTTTGAGCATATAGCTCTAACTCTGTGGCTGAGGGTCTTCACTAAATTTCTTTTGTAATTGATAGGAACGAAGCTGTGAAAGTGTGTATATTGTCCTGTCCAAGTGCTTTTTCTATGCACGAGTTAAGACAATGGCAATGATAAAAGATATTTTCAAGTGAATCAGAAATAGTAATAGTAAGAGGTAGAATAAAAAATTAATAACAATAATAGTAATAACAGTTAATAAATAAAACATATTACTATGGTAGATTCAGAGTGACTACCATTTCCTTCTGTACACAGAGACTTGGCTTATGAATTTTAATTGCACAAGCCTCCGAAAATGCTGACATCTTCCTGTTTGTTTGTCTACTGGCAACAATAAACGAATTGGCAGCGTTAATATCGCGTCTGCAGTCCACAAGATGCTTTGATATTGGAGTTTCAAGGGCTTTGATTTCACCTGTTTTCCACTACCTTGGCGAATTCTCTATCATGAGAGTAGATATTCGCCTTTCCACAGGACCTATGTATCTGCTTTCACTGACATACTCAAATTGATATGAACAGCTTGATGTGTCGAAGATTAACGACTGACTTCCCTCAGACTGTTGATGCACCCGCTTGGGGGGTGGGTTAAGGAACAAAGATTTTGCAGCATAATAAGTTCTCTTGACAGCTTTATCCAGTCTTCGTTTGACTACCTCTTGTAAATCATCTCCTTTGAATGGCAAACTGATATAGATAGATTTCTTCCGAAGTGTTTGGGTAGTTTTGCAGGGGCTTATTTCTTTAGAATATTTATTGATGAACTTCTGAGGGTATCAAATCTTAGATAAAATGTTCTTCAAAATATTTATTTTATGTCTAACTGTACTCCCAGAACAAATGTTTCATGCTCTATTGAATGGTGTTCTGACTAATTTCTTTTATTGTTGGACTGCAAGAAAATTTTTTAAATGGATGTCCTGTCCTGTCCTGTCCATGAAGACTTTCTAAATACGGATCTTTCCACTGTGCCACCAGCCGTTTTCACTAGAGAAACATCTAGGAATTAAACGGTACTATTTTCTTCATATTGTATTATGAAGTTAAGGTTCAGATGGCATGAGTTGAGTTTTTACAATAAGTTTCACAGACAACAAAAATGTGTGATGTTGTAAGATACTGGCTTCTAGGTCCGACACGAATAAATCCTCAAAAATTTGTCCCAAGGGGCTTCCCTTTGCAACTTGACGGAATAGAAGCCTATCTAATTAAAATTGAACATTATCAGAACACAAAAGCAAAAATTTCTTCAATCCCCTTGTTGGAATGGGGTTGTCGTTAGTTTCTGTAACTATGAAGTCAATAGTCTCAATGACTGGAACATTTGTGAATAAGAGAGTAACACTGAAAGTGATGAGATGCTTGCCGTTTACACTGAGATCATTAATTTGTTTTACAAACCTTCCAAAGCGTTTTCACAATGTCTGCAATAATTCACATAGCCACTGTGCTAATTTGTGGTGGTGAATTTACCATCGAAATTAGGGGGTCTTAGGGGCGCTCCTGGTGTGTGTCCATTTCAAGACTCCTGTATAATTTTGGGATCTGTGACCCGATCAGTTTAAATTTCTTATTATATCTATTTTCATCAGTGTATTTCTCTTTGAAATGTTTTCGGGGATGCTGCACGATTTTTCTTTCAGTCGGCAGTGTTTGATCTTTGGAACGATTATCCATATTATATGTAAATTCAACAGACAGAATTTGATGCATTTTTCTACGTAATCCATCTTATTTATCTAAACCACACATTGTTCTTTATTTATTAGAATGTAAACTAACAACACTACTGTCCTTTTGAAGCTTGTGTAAAGTTCTCCCGTGTTCTTTGGTAATTTTTGACTTTTGATTGGTCTTTGTGATTCGAAAATGACCGCTCTGGATTTCAACCAGCTATCGGTGTCGTATGAAATAGCGTAATGCCTCATAAATTGATTGAAAAGATTCTCAAATTGGTCCTTGATATATGTTCGCTTCCTTTTTTTTCATGGGCACACAGAAACTGAAACCTATTGACAAGATTTCTGTTCGTTCTGTTGACAGGGAAACATTATATAAATTATGAACACAATTAGATATTCAAGTATTGGTTTGTAGGTATTTGGTTGATTGATTGCAAGATTTCATCATGAGCTGACATTGATCAGAGAACCATTAGAAAACCTGGTAGTACTGGACAGCTGTTTCGTCGCAGGCTGGGACTCTTCCTCAGTACGCACCCACCGGGATTCGAACTCAGGACCTTCTGGTTACAAGGCGAGCTCGTATACCATTAAGCCACTGGGACCCGATCCAGTGGCCCATGAATTCTAACTACTGCCAATTCACGACATAGCGCAACCGCTAGCCAATGTCTTTGGCGAGTATTTGTCTTCACACCTTACCTGACCAGTAGGGTACAGCAGGTCTCAGTGGCTTAATGGTATACGAGCTCGCCTTGTAACCAGAAGGTCCTGAGTTCGAATCCCGGTGGGTGCGTACTGAGGAAGAATCCCAAACTAGGACGAAACAGCTGTCCAGTACTCCTAGCTGGTTTTCTAATGGTTCTCTAACCAATGTCAGCTTATGATAAAACCCTGTAAACAATTAGATATATCCAGTGGAAAAGTTTCATTTGGTAGGTCAGGAAAAACTTATCTTTTCAGTCATTTTCCTTCTATTTCTCTGGTCTTTTTCGAAATAGTGTGCAGATATTTTGTGAATTTTAGACAACATAATAGAAGAGCAAGTCATTTTGTACACTAGGCTTTCTTCCACTTGTATACGAGTTTAACTTACTGAAAATTTTAGTTGTCCAAGTAAAGACTTACGTTCCAGTTTTTCGTCTTACAAAAAATATCAGAGATTAAAATGAAAACCTGCGTCACCTTAAGATTCTGGCGAACTAGCATTATCTGGATTAATTATGGAAGAAGCTACACTTTGGAAACTCAACGTACGCGATTGCACTGATGAACTTCGAAACGCTTAGTTAGAGCAAGGCAGTGAAACCAGATAAATATCACCTACTTTTTTTAGGAAAAAAGGGTGTTGAACGAAGTGTAATGATCTTAAACGGGATATCTGGTTGGTTTTGGCTTAGGTTATAGAAAGATTGAAGTTAATTTTGGCCTAGGGACGACTTAGGGTTAGACTAACCTAAATATAGGTATTGACTTGACAATAAAATTCGGATTTTCATTACAAACGTCAAGTCAGTCAGTCAGTTCTTCTATACGGATGGATCAGAAAGTTGATGGCGGGTCACAAAGAATATTTCCAACAGCCTGTTGCAGACCTTTATCAACAACTGTCTCCGCTGGCTCTATACTGAAGATCAGATGGCTGGAAAGAACAAGAACCAACAAGAAACTATGGGAACAAACAGACAAAACAAGAACCAATCGCTCAACAAATATGCAGGAGAAAGTGGAGATGGATTGGACACTCGCTGAGGAGACCACTGGCTGGGTGACATCGCGTTACAGGCCAGTGCATGAGTGGAAACCGAAAGGGAAGCGGCGAGTTGGTCGTCAGTGCAAGGGTGACATGGAGGAGATCGTGTGAAGAGGAGCTGAAACAGTATGGACTAACATGGATGGAGGTGAAAAGTACAGCAGAAGACAGAAGCAAGTGGAGATGTGCATTCGAAGCCCCATGTTCCACTAGGAACCCAAGGGAACAATAATATAATAATATAATAATTAGAGGTATTAGGATGAGTTCGGAATATATTAGGGTCAAGGTTAGGTTAGAGTGAGATTGTAGCTCAACTACTCTATCCAAGGTCACTGGTGCCTTCACACACCCTATGTGTCTAAAACTGGACTTTGCCTAATTGTGAAACGTAACTGTTAGCCAAGCCAGTGCTTTGCTATTAATGATTACGTATTATGCCAAGCTCTCATTACAAAGGAATGATCCATAACTCTCGCGTGTAATATCGTTACACTAGCTATCCAGGCATAGGTCTTTTACTGTCAGTATTAATCTTCTCTGGATCTAACGAACAGTATGATAGGATCCCACACACTTTGTTATTGTTCAATTATTTTAACGACTGTTAATCTCGTATAAGTGGTATATCATCAATTCTCACGCATTTTGTTATTGACTATTACGACCAATTATTTCAAATACTGTTAGCTGTCTGTATTGGTTGTAAATATGTATAAATACCAATTCCTAAATAAGTTTATTCGTCGTAGTTTGTCGTAGTTGTTGTACTACAATACACAGTCACAGACCAGCTTTTGTCTTTTGATATTTGCATGGTTCGCTGAATCGGAAGGTACCAGAAGCAGATAGATATATTAGTCAGGCACAGATAGAATAAGGCAACAACGTCCTCATTTAATTACGCTACAGTTACAACACAGTAGCGGGTTGGTAGTTCATTGTGAGACTAATATGGCGATAGCCTTCAACTGGCAGTTGCTATGGATGTAATTCGTGGTGATTGAAGGCGGAACGAAAACTTGTGTCACGATAAAAAAATTTGAACCAGCCTTCGTGAGTAATCATCATTTAATTGTAGTCCATTAGTCTAAGGTTACCTCTGGTTAATCCGATCGAATCTTTAGGAAACCCCGTTGATTAGCTAGGTCCCAGATGAACGCATTGACCGTGAGGTATTTAAATCACATCGATTTGCCTGCTGATATGCACTTCTGGTTGATGTAAGTATTATCCAACTACTTATATTAGTCATTAAGTAGCATATAGCGGCATGCATTTAAGGCACGCACTACCTTTGTTTTATGCACATTTTGATGTGATAAAAAAAATTACATTCACATCAGAAAAAAATGTTTTTATTCCACTTTTTTTGCAGTGAATGAATGTACACAATTATTGCATCCACTGTTAATTATACTACTTTTACAAATGCTAGTAGTTTCTAGCGTCACTACAATAACAAAACAACATTACTTACTAATAAATGGTCCAATGCACACACGAGCATTAATCAATACTACTGTGCAATTTAAATGTCGTGTTCAGCTGCTTATTCAAAATATAGGTCCTATTGAAAATAAATGTACACAAATGGCAAATGAAACGAACCCACCGACATGTTCATCATCTTCCACAGCATCCTCACTAACTCCATCATCGTCGTCATCAGCATCAGCTTCAGGAGAAGTTTGGCAAATAATAAAGCCAAATCTACTGCCTGACAAGTTAGACATCATTGTCCAATGGATGAAAGATGGATTTGGATATGATCGAGATGGGCTGAGACAAACATTCGGTGGAAGATACACCATGATGGAATCAAAGGAGAAAGGTGAGTTCGAGCATATGTACTACTTCAATTATGCATAATAGTTTTTGAATAAAATATTTAAAAAAGTTAGTCCCTTTTATAAATTTTGATAGCATTATTAGAAGACGGAGATTATCTGAAAAACAATGTGATGTATTAGCGCTATACATTTCGAACAATCTGATCCCTCACACATTTACTTGTCAAGTCAATATATATGGAAAAGTTAAATTAAACAGTGACAAAAAAAAGAATTAAGAATAATTAACACAAATGTTTGGTAATCCAATCAAATAAGGATTACCAAGGTAGGTTAAGAGTAATAACAAACTGTTTTTGAATACACAGGGGGGGGGCTTAAGTTTATGAACGGCTATAGCCTCAGCGTATTTCAGTAAACGTCCTTGACCGTTTTTATAGATGACCTTAAAGGCTGAGTTAACATCAACCTTATGGTTCATCTCGATTAAATGTTTAGCTATAGACGAAGTTGGTAGTCTAGCACCTGCATCTATGGGCTTGTCACAATTCATCTGTTTTTCTAACCACTTTGGGATATGCTCTCCCACCCTCACGTGCAACGCGCGATTACTCCTCCCTATGTATGTATGTCCACACACACGAAAATTGGTAAATTGTGTGGAACGTGATATAATCACTTGTGCACTTTTGAGGTTTCCAGTGAAGCATATTTTTAGCTTTTTCCACAATTACAAGCTGGGCTGCATAGTAGGTTCTGCGGATGATGGAATTCAACCTTTGTCTCAAAATCCTACTATTTATTTCCCCATTATATGGTAATTTGATGAAAACCTTTTTCTTAGGGACGGTATGGATTGTAGGTTTAGAGGCTAGTTGACTTCTACACCTGTTTAAAAATTTCAAAGGATATCCGTTTTCAACAAGAGTATCCATCAATATTTCGTTTTCTTTGTCTATAACATCAGCCGTGCAAATACGCTGAATCCTCTTAAATAGACACTTCACCAAGCCTCTCTTATATTGTAATGGACAGAAGCTGTGAAAATTAAGGTATTGCCCTGTCCAAGTGGGCTTTCTGTAGATAGACCGTCTTATTGAGCCATCGTCTCTTCGACTCAGAAGTATTAAAATGGTTGTTTTATTGTTCAGATCAAAGGGCTTGTTTAAGGATTTGCATTAATTGCAGTGTTGATTTCGTCGAAAATCAATATCACAGTCGGAGAATTATTGAAAACCAGGGGGCAGTACTAAACATTTGCTTGTTACTAGTTTGTGATTTGATTTTTTTGATTACAGCTTGATTCCACACAGTACTTTTTGGTGCAAGTATGGAATTTTCAGTATGTGATATCGGTAGCCCAAATTTTCCAGGCCGACCATTGATATCAGGTGTGCGTCGGCAGGGGATCGAACCCCGGACCATGTGCATAGCTGGCGAGCATTCTACCTCTGTGACACCGACGCAGAGCTGTAACGACCAAAACCGATTTGTTGTTGCTTGAACGCTGGAAAAAAATCTGGGTTCTAGTGTATAGCTGACCTGAGCTTCCTTCAGTTACACGTAGTCACAAAATGCCTCGACGACGAAAGCGAAATACGGTTACTCGAGATAGAGTCCACGGTACTATTTAACAACAATAACAATATCAAACAGTCAAAATAACCTCAATACTACAGTTAGCCAGCTATAAAGATCCATTTCTTTCTCGAGTGCAAAACTAGTACTGTAGAATAAAATTGGTTATCCAAAATTTACCTGTAGGAAATACCTGGGAATCAAGTAGAATATTCTTACTAACAGGGTAGGATCAAAACTCTGTCCACAACAATCACACAGGAGGCACTGCCTGCAAATACTTTAAGTTCAGAATCGCCTCGATTCACTCAAACAGAACCGCGTCATAAAACCACACATTATCAGTATCAATAATCACACAACCATGAAAAGAAGCATTAAAGTTAGAGATTAAACAGTGTGACAAGGGATAAATAATAAGGATAGTCAACAATATGATACGCAATAACAATAATGTTTAATCTAGACGAAAGGAGAATAATAATTACGAAGTTACTTGACATATTCAGATAGGTATTATTATTATTATTGTTTCCTTTAATTCCTAGAGGAACATAGGGCTTCAGCCGTGCATCTCCATTGCGTTTGGTTCTTTGCTACAGTCTTCACCTCGCTCCAAGTCTGCCCACACACTTTCATCTCCTCTTCACATCACCTCCTCCAAGTCACCCACACCCTCGCACTGACGACCAACTCGCTGCTTCCCTTCCGGCCTGGTTCCACTAGAGCAATGGCTTGTCTAGTGATGTCACTCACTTGATGGCTTGTTTCCTCAGAGTATGGCCAACCAATCTATCTCCATTTCCTCCTGTCTATTTGTTTCACAATCGGTTCCAGAGATCCCTGTTGCTCATGTTTTCTGGCTGGCCATCTGATCTTGAGTATTGAGCGAAGACAGTTAGCTGTTAATGAAGGTCTGTAGTTTGTTTGAGGTGCTGTTTATGACGCGCAGTGCAAGTCTCTGATCCGTATGTTAAGTAGCACTGTCTGACTTCACATTAGAGTTGAAAATCCGGATGTTATTTTTTGATGCTTAGTGCTGTTGACCTCCACACAGACTTGAGAGTAATGAAAGCTTGTCTTGTTTTTCCGATTCTTGCTTTGATATCCTGGTCAGTTCGGTCTGCCTGTAGTTGAAATGATGCTTCCCAGGTAGGTAAAAGAGGTTGTTTCTTTCAGGCTCAGATAGGTAGCACTATTGTAATTAGATCGTTCAAGGGGGATTTCCCAGCATTTTACTTATACAGCCAAACCATCGAGGATAGAACCTTGGATCATCAGAGTACTGATCTACGTCTTTGAATATTCAACCGCCTGAGCAGGAATCCAATGACTTGTGAATTTTGAAACTTCGTCAGTTCGTGATACGCTGCTACCACCAAACAATGCCATCTATGAGTGTTCAAATCACCCTGAAATGTTGGTCGTCACTGGACACGACAACTCGTTACAACTTCAGGAAATTCTTCCAGTAGTAGTCACCTATGAACTGGAGATGGATATTTCGATCATTATTCTTTTTTGTACTAATGATGGTTAATACATAAATGAGATGAAGTTCCAGTGAGAAATCTCGGCAAGTGTTTCTTACCATGGCAGGGCAAAGCGGACAACAATCTGTGCCACTGATTAACAGAAGCGCGGAGATGGCCCCTGAATTCCGACCCGCTGGGTAGAAGATGGTAAACAAGGGCTGGCTTCGTAACTCGAAGTCCCCAAAGTTTGATTTCTGGTAGTGGGTAAGGTCATCATTGTGCAATGTTGAGCAGTTCCAAACCAGGACGAAGCACCTGTTGGTTATTACTCATTGGTTTTTAATGATTCTCTAACTGAGATTATGTTTCTGGTGCTATTCAGTGCTCATTACAACAGATGTTGAATTTAAAAGTTCTATGATGATCGCCTTGATCTGAACAATCGAATCACTGTTCAATACATCAGATATGGCGCTGCTATGAGTTTACATTGAGCAAAAGTCTACTTTACAGATTTTTACTGACTGGTGGCCGCTGAATACATATAAATATTTCAAATTGGACTTTGATAAAGTCCCTTTAGTCCATCCAATTAAGAAGCTTTTTCTCTAAAATTATCTTGGAATGAGACGCAAACAGTTTTTTTGAATGATTCCAATGTAAGGTATCATCATCGGTGATGCGTATCTGTGAGAACTAATGTCACTAATCTACTTTACTTGACTACTACTTTATTGGCAAGTTATTCTAGCCACGATTTACCTCTCAGTCTGCCCTCTACTTCCTTGCTGAATTGTGTAATGCGTTGAGAGGAGAGAGAGAAAAGTCGAATTCCAAGTGTGTTTGTTTGTCTTAATTTATGAGATGACTATTTCAAAATAGGCCATTGTTTGAATTTTAAATATATATTAACATGAAGCTCACCATAACTCACCAAGACAACATACCTATGAACTTATCAGTTAGCTTTTATTCAACGAATGCTTCGAAGATGGACTTCACCATCAGCTGACATAATTCGGAGAACTGGATACAAGTTTCGTGGTGTTGTTGGACTATTCATCCGTGCATAGCAAGATCAATGAAGTTGTGGCACAAGCCACGTTGACCATTATTAACCTCTGTGTTAGAATCCAAAAGGACTTATGGATTCTCATCCCTGTCAATTGAAGATACAACAATACCAGGAGGATATGTATGTCAGTTGTTAAACTTCATCACAAACTTTACAGAGATCATTGAAAACCTACAAAGTTAGAATTCACAGGACATTGAGTCCCAGCCTAAATTGTGGTTTGGGTCAGGGTGTAACAACAGAAGACAAGGGTCAGGCAACAGATCGTTTTTTGAAGGAAATCAAGACACATATTTATAGATTTTCATATACATTATTATGGATTATTGTTAACAGAAAAACACAGTCTTTTGATTGGTTGTGTCTCACTGAAAGTCAATCTTTCATCTCTTTATGACTGTTTCTTGAATGTCAGATCATTTATATGCTAACTGTATCCACCTACGCAAAGTCTTTGTTCTTATTTTTCTCACGACCAATATTTGGGACATAAACATTGACGTCAGTTACTGTCTACCAACTTTGGCTAGCAGCCAGCTCTCATCACAAGGGCTTAAAGTCCTGTGTTCGATCCCTGGCCGGGCAGGGGGCGTACAGATAGCTGTCTTCTGCTCCTTGATAGTCTTCAATGACCTCTTTGACTGATTTTGGATCGTGGAGAAATCCGAAACTCACACAAATTCCATAATCTGAAATATGTATGGGTCACTCAGTTAAGCCCGAATTCTTGACTACTGACTGTAAGTAAGATTAATTCCTGTCAGTAGGCTTTATGAACTTATTTCTAAAAGATATTTTGCTTCAAGCCATACTTTACATATGAACACACACACACATCTATCAATCTGTTGTTAAGTTTAAAACAAGCAAATAAATAATCAGGTGGGTGAAATCAAATAAAAACAGACAAGTGTGAAAATCTTAGATTTAACCGGAACAAACTCAATAAAAGCCAAACACACACACACACACACATACAAACAAACAGTAACTTTTATCATCTCAGTTGCCTTGGTAAGAGCGTGATTTTTGGCGAAAAACCAACTAACTAACGACAACACTAAATGAGCATAACGTGAGTAGGCTTCAAATAGGTGGAAGCAGAGTGGTATGGAAGAATGTTTGTCCATCCATCAATATATATTATATATATATATTTGTGCGTGTGCGTGTGTTTATGCAGGTATGCAGAATAATATCAATATTTACTCAAAAATATCACTTTTCCATTTTTATTTTCTTTTGGTATCCACAGTTCTCAAATCTGTTTTGCATAATAATATCTGTCAGATTACTTTGGACTACTTACTACTGTAGTCACGTAGCTTGCTTGGATTGACACACGGCTGAAGTGTGGGCGTTTATGGTTTGAATCTTACGACTATTTTTAACCGTCCATTTAACCTTCAATTACCAGTCACTACATCAGTAATTATTATTATTAATCTTTCCTTTAATTCCTAGAGGAGCATAAGGCTTCAGCCGTGCGTCTCCATTGCGTTCGGTTCTCTGCTACAGTCTTCACCTAGCTCCAAGTCTGCCCACACCCTTTCATCTCCTCTTCACATCACCTCCTCCAAGTCACCCTCACCGTCGCACTGACGATCAACTCGCCGCCGCTTCCCTTTCGGCCGGCTTCTACTCGAGCAATGGCCTGTCTAGTGATGTCACTCACTTGATGGCTTGTTTCCTCAGAGTATGGCCAGCCAATCCACCTACCTCCATTTCTTCCTGCCTATTTGTTTCACAATCGGTTGGTTCCTGCTGTGTTGGTTCGCTCATTGCCAGAGATCCCTCTCTATTGCTGATCTTTTCTGGCCGGCCGGCCATCTGATCTTGAGTGGTATTGAGCGAAGACAGCTAGCTGTTGATGAAGGTCTGTAGTTTGTTTGAGATGCTCTTTATGACGCGCAGTGCAAGTCTCTGATCCGTATGTTAAGTAGCACTGACTGACTTCACATTGGAGTTGAAAATCTGGATCTTATTATCATTTTGATGCTGAGTGCTGTTGACCTCCACACAGACTTGAGAGTAATGAAAGCTTGTCTTTCTTTCCCGATCCTCGCTGCTTTGATATCCTCGTCAGTTCCGTGTGCCTGTAGTTGAAACGATGTTTCCCATGTAGGTAGGTTAAGGAGGTTGTTTCTTTCAGGTTCCTCCCATTTATGCTGATCGTTGTCTGTTGTTGTTGTTCTTGTCGAGGAATCTACATCACCTACCTCTGTTTTCTCTATGTTCACCTGAAGGAAGTCCTATCTTCTCTGGATGCTTCTCCTGCCCACTTGTTTCTATTCGCTTCTATATCTTCCAGTTTGTGGGAAATCAAACATATATCATCGTCGAAGTCCAGATCCTCCAAGTTTTTCGTGAGAGTCCATTGTATGCCTCTTTCCTGATTGCCCGCTGTTTGTCGCATTATCCAATCTACTGCCATCAGGAAAATCATTGGTGATAGGTCCGTTATCCTACATGAGTAATATCATTTCAAAAAGCGTCATTTTGCAGGGACGTCGTTGATTTTAAGTTTGATCACAGATCCATATCATTTAGAGAACTATTGAAGACTACCAAGGAGATCTGGACAGATGATCCATCCTTGTTTGAGACTCTTCAGAAGGATGTGACCATGACGTCACACTCACTGGATCAAACGCTCAACCTTCAAGATACATACATGGTGAACCAACCCCCTGACCATTCATTCACTGAGCAAGGAATCCAGTAAACCATGAATTCTAATTTCTGCCAGTTCACGATACACACCACCAATGGCAGTCAACGTCATCGGTTAGTAATGGTCTCCACAACCCCACTTGATGTACCCTACTTACTGGTCACCACTTCACTCTAGGCAAATTCATCTTGTAAGGAGTCACTAGTACTTCCTAGTTTTCAGTAGTCATGTCAGCTAGTGAGTGGTTTAGCATGAAACCAATCAAATGTCTGTCAAATGTCAAAGTGACTGCTCTAAACTTAATGGCTTTCTGTCAGAAATCAGCCAGTGGTCCAAGGAAAACGGTCTTACCTTAAATCCCTCCAAATGTCAAACAGTCAATTTCACCTTTAGCCATAAATCCGACCTAAACAAACTGGTTGGCTCTCACGAGGTATGCAACATAGAAGGCACTGAAATAGAAACCAAGTCGGAAATCAAATACCTAGGAGTCATTCTATCTGCTGATCTTTCCTGGTCGTCTCATATCTTGGCGATTTCTAAGAAAATATTCCGTCTTACCTTCTACATCAAGAAGTTAAGACATTCTGGAATAACCCCCCAACCATTACTCCTACAATTCGTTAACTCTCGCATTCTGCCTATTATTCTCTACTGTTCCCCCTTAGTTTTTCCCGGGCTACTGAAGAAAGACTATACCTTATTACGCAGGACGTTAAAGGTTGTCAGCAGCGTAAGCAACGTGCCACTTAACCAGCTTGTTAATATTCTGGTCGACAGGCACATGGACTCATGTGAAAAATAAACCAGAATCCTATTTCCTGCAAAACTATATGCTCGCACCAAGCAAGTACAAAAACTCAACCATACCCTACTTAGCTCGTGTTCTGTGCGATAAAGAAAGCATTAGGCGTGACACCTATAATTCATTAAATAGTCAGTAGAACAACTGAACCTCGTCTTTCCAACTCATATCATTTATAGGTACAACATTTTCTTTCTTTCTTTTCCTATTCTCTCTCTTTTTCTTTTTTTTCCGTTATGTGCTGCTTTGTTTCTTTCTTCCGCTTACGCCAGTAAATATGATAGCACCTACTTTGCTAACACCTTCAAACACTCTGTTCAACTTTGGCTTTGCTACCGACATGTCAATATGTTGTTGTCATAATGAACTGAGATTTCCTTAATCTATGTAGAATTCTATTTATTGATAATGTACTAACTGGATGCAATACTGTAGTAAACAAAATGCTGAGAATTCCATTCTGTATCACAAGTACTGTTTTGGAATAAAGCAAATTATTATTATCCTTTCTAACTATATCGACTTATAACATGAACAACAGTTGCTCTTGTCTTGTCTCGTCGTTCTCAACTGACTGACAGCTTCTACTGTCTTCTATTCTATTCGTTTCTAGATATGTACGATTTAACTATCCACGGTGTTCGATATGAAGATGAAGGTGAATATGCTTGTCAGGCTAGATTGGTTGAGAAGTCGAACTCAATTCACTTAACAGCCAGTCACACAAAACTAGACAGAAAATCAATAAATTCTGACCGAATCAACTATGACTCTTCAAAGTCAGAATTCTTAATGCATGATCCACTTGCCTTACTACCAATGAGTTTGATTAAAAGTAATACAGCTAATTTAAATATAGTAGGTAAGTTGTTTGATTAGATAAATGAATAGTTATTTTATCGATTTTTTTCTACTTTGGTTAGAGCGCTTAATTCAGATTGGAAGCATTTAGTTTACTTAATACGGCGGCGATATGTTGTGCGTTTTTCCCGGATTTCTCATCACACTTGGTTATAACATGAAATATGCTTTTTCAAGTTATATATTTCATCGCGAATTCACATCAGTTATATAAGCATAGAAAACCAAGGAGCTCTTCAGTAGCTGACACGCATGACCCCAACCTATAGTGGAATCCACAACCCTCAGGTTATGAAGCTAGCACATTACTAATAGTGCCATTAGTCCTTAATTAGGTTGTTTATGAGGTCATGAGTACGCATTGCTGAAAAGTCGTAAACTAGAGGAAAATAAATGATCATCATAATGGCCTAGCTTTCAATGTTTCTCTAACTGATGTCAGCTTGTGATGCAATCTAAGAAGCTCTAGGAGTTCAACATGGAATTATGATAACAATGAATACAGCAGTCTGCTAATTACAGAATTCGTGCCAAAAATGATAATAGCACCAACACATAGCCCCGTTGTTTCCCAGAAACAGTCTAACAGATGCCAGTGTGGAGCATTCATCTTTCTGATAGGACGGTTATAAGATGGAAATAAAGGGTCAATAACAGTTGATTAGGTTATTTGGTAGATGGTGACTAGCAGCGGAATCCAGGATGCGCATTTCGTCCTATTCAGGACTCGTTGGCTGGATGTACCTGCATTCCCCAGTCAGTGATGTGTTCCCACCGAGGCTCCAACCCGTTGTACAAGAGGTGGCTCTCGTGGCCCAAGTGGTCTAGTGGCATTTGGAACTACGGGCAGTGGATTCGAGCCTCGGTGGGAACACCATCAATAACTCACTTTTGGAATGTAGGTATATCCAGTCTATGAGTCCCACAGAGGATGAAACGCTTATCCTGGATTCCGCTGCTAGTTATCATCCACCAATTAACTTCAAGGTACATGACCAGACCAACATATCAACTTGAGACCAAGCAGTTCGATGCAGTCAATAAATAGATGGGAAAATCTAAATTGAATTAAACGATTTATTAAGTCAGTTTACTTGATACTGTGTAGCTGGAAACCGCTGTCATCAACAGTAGTGCTTGCTACCTCAGTATTGGGTAGTGGAAGCTATTACATGCTTATCCTTGGTGACAGTAAAGCTACAGTCATACAAGAAGTTATGAAATGATATTTAAGAATGTTTATCGCCAAGATTATCAGTTAATTTGGTTGAAACAACACTAAACAATCATAAAATAACATTTCAGGGTTGTTGTTTTTTTATTGTCAGGTCTAATGCAGTGTTTCTAGTGATGTAGTGTGAGTAATCCTGCATAATACAAAATTTTAAGATGGTGGTAATGGCGTTCACAACCAATGATTGTCAGTTAATATTACCGAATAAAAAAAACCCCACAAAATCTAATAATTACATGATGGTTAATGACAGGACAATTTTGTAATACTCATAGTGCTAATATAGTCGGAACCAGTAGATACACAAAAGAAGAAATACAGTGAAGTACAAAAAAGTAAGCCAATGTTAATAATTTAGGTAGCTAATTATGTTTAAGAAGGAGTTCACTATAGAATACAAAATCAGAGAGAAATAAAAGAGCCTAAAATTATGTTATTAGTAACAAAGCAAGTCATAGGTTTCGCGCTTAACATTGTCTCTGTCACTTAGAACACGGGCCAAGTATGATATCGTTGAGTTCCCGCACTTGGTTGTACGAGCATAGATTATTTTATACTGATTTCTGGTTTTAATTGATGAGATCCAAGGCGAGAGTTGGGAATAGAGTGGTTGTTGGGGGTCGGAGTGTATGGTTTTCGACCATTTTTCGCATGTATTCACAGATACCTTTCAACTAATGTAGTGACGAGCTGACTGAGTTTTACACCACTAGTCCTACTAACTACCTTCCTCCATCCTTCTCAGGATGGTATAGTCCTTTTTCAGTAAGTAGCCCAGGAAAGACTAACGGGGAGCAGTAAAGTAGAGAATAGGTAAGATACAAGAGTTGACAAATTGTGAAAGTAGAGGTTGGGTGATTCCAGATTGTCTAAGTTTCTTAATGTTGTAGTAGGTTAGACAGAACACTTTCTTAGAAATCGTTAGGATATGAGATGTCCAAGTAAGATCGGAAGACAGAACTAGACCGAGGTATTTTGCATTAGACTTAGTTTCAGTTTTAGTCCCCTCAATGCAACAGGCTTCATGAGTACTTACTGGTGTTTGTAGATCTCGCTTATGCCTAAGGGAGAAGTCAATAGTCTGGCATTTTGAGGGATTCATCATAGGACCATTTAGTTTGGACCACTCACTTATGTCTGACAGGAAGCTATTTAATTTGAAACAGTCTGACTGAGACTTAATGGGAAACGATACAGACAGGTCATCTGCATAATTGATGAAGTTGATTTCATCCGAAAGAGGTAAATCATGTAAGAAGAAGGAAAAGAGAAACGGAGAGAGAACAGCACCCTGAGGCACTCCAGCTCCAACTCTTTAATAACCATTGATTCTGTCTGCATAATGCATACTGAAGTGCCATATAGACAACTTTATCAAACAGGGAGGTGAGGGGAGATGAAATATGCTCCTCCTCCTCATAATAATAATAATAATAAAGTCATATACTAGTTAGGTGATAATCCCCTTGGCTCATAATCAGTGTTCATTCTCTGTCCCGGCACAGACCGGTGATTATCTCATTCACTTTTGGGAGTTAAATATTTTGTTTAGAATTTCAGGTCAAATAAACCCGCGCCATTATTGATGATTTAAATGTTAACGTTATGTCATTCTCCGATATGTTTGTTTGTATTATCCCGTGGGATATCAATGCTCTTTAAGAGGAGGAGGACGAAAAACAAATTGAAAAAGTTGGCGAATATTTAACTATCCCAATGTATTTTTTTATTTTCTTAATCAGTGTCATCTGGCTGACCTCTATTCACTAAGAGTTTTAACTAAGTTTGTAGACAGATATTTTAAAAAAATAAAGAAGGTGACATTAGGTGAAATTCACTGAACATTATTCACTGGTGAAAATAATGATGATTTTTAATAATAAGGGTTTCTTTTTGAGGGATATGGATTAGAGATCATTGGAAAACAAGAAGTATTGGACAGAGCTGCTTCGTCGTAATTTGAACTTCTTCCAAATACACGACTCCACCTAGAAGTATTATTATATAACTCTACGTCACTACAATTTCATCGTTTAGTATGCGTTTCCACAGTCATTGGAGTAGAGTCTGCCGGTGACAATATATCTCATCACATCCATGTTGAAGACACGGGTTTGTGTCTGTAAGAGTTGAACACTGGGGGAAAAAAAGCTGAGCAATTATCCCTGGTTTCCACTGATCCACTTATTGATACATATCTGTTGATGATTGTGAACCCTATATCTTTAAGTCAATAAAATCTCTGCAAACTGAGCATTTGTGTCTTTTTTTCAATAGTTTGGTTTGTAAGGGTTAGTTATGTTTTTACGAGTTGATCACGGATTGATATCAGTTAGAGAACCATTGAAAACAAGCAGGTAATACTGGACAGCTGCTGTTTCATCCTAGTTTGGGAATCATTGGCAGTACGCACCCACTGGGATTCGAACCCAGGACCTTCCGGTAACAAGGCAAGCTCGTATATCATTCAGCCACTGGGACCTGATTCAATGGCTCATGAATTCTAACTTCTATCCATTCATGATTTAGCGCGACCTAAACCATTGTCGTTGGTGGGACATCCTAACTGATATCAATCCGTGATCAACTCATAAAAACCTCAAAATTATGTTTAAAGTCTGAAATTACCTTCATTACAGGCTTTTAATTCCCCTTTCTAATTTACATTTGTAGTACAGACTAAGGAGTAAAAAGTTGAACTTGGCACAGTTGACTGGGTATGGGCGGAGACTGATTATTCACACTTTGATCTTGTCTTATTAAAGGTAGCTGATAGATGAACATTTAACTGAACGAGAGTTATCAGTTCGATGTATGTTATCCATATAGGATGATGGTACATACTATTGATTGATGTGAGCAAGTGGAACCACTCACGGCAAACCAGTAGTGCTTGTTAACCTAATAGAAATTATCCAAATGCTGAAAAGCTGTTGCCTTCCCGTGAGACCAACTCTCATCAATATTGTGCTTGGACTGACTCATCTGAGAGCTCTCAGATGAGTTGTTTCAGACCATCTTAATTCTTGTTTGCTGCATGAGTTGACCGGTAATACATAGATTCTAATTCGCCTTTTAAAAATTACACATTGAGTGAAACTGTTGTTAGCAAAGACTACTGGTTTAGCATGACTTTTCTTCAACTGCTTATATCACTCAGACAACAGCGTATAGAGTACCATGCTATTTCACCAGATTTCTTGATTGTCGTTTATAGTATGAAGCAGAATACACATCCTGATATGTTACTCTTGTGTATAATGGCCATGTCTCCGATGGACTAATCTTCCTTAGAGCCATCCGCTGTTATATAAACAAATGTTACTTTCAGTGTTGCTTGGAGACTACCGTTAATAAAATCGGGAAGAGGATTGTTCATCATCTGTGAAGATTATTATTATTATTGTTCCCTTCGGTTCCTAGTAAAACATAGGGCTTCAACTACACATATCCACTTGCTTCTGACTTCTCCTGTACTTTTCACCTGCGTCCATGTTAATTCATACTGTTTCAGCTCCTCTTCACATGATCTCCTCCATGTCACCCTTGCACTGACGTCCCAAATCGAGAATCGGAAAGGCGAGAAACACACCCATCAACCTGAAACCAATCTGGAAATCTTCCGCTGTCACTCAACTCACAATCAACAACAAAGTGATTCGGATTTTCAATACAAACGTCAAGTCAAGTCAGTCAGTCACTTCTTCTATACGGATGGATCAGAAACTTGACGGCGTGTCACAAAGAATATTTCCAACAGCCTGTTGCAGACCTTTATCAACAACTGTCTTCGCTGGCTCTATACTGAAGATCAATCAGATGGCTGGAAAGAACAAGAACCAAGAAGAAACTATGGGAAGAAACAAAACAAGAACCAATCGCCCAACAAATATGCAGGAGAAAGTGGAGATGGATTGGACACTCGCTAAGGAGGCGGCTGGGTGACATCGCGCGTCAGGCCATAACTCGAGTGGAACCCAAAAGGGAGGCGGCGAGTGGGACGTCAGTGCAAGGGTGACATGGAGGAGATCATGTGAAGAGGAGCTGAAACAGTATGAATTAACATGGACGCAGGTGAAAAGTACAGGAGAAGTCAGAAGCAAGTGGATATGTGTAGTTGAAGCCCTATGTTTTACTAGGAACCGAAGGGAACAATAATAATAATAATCTGTCTGTTTAACCGGTTATCACAATGAGCACAGAGTGGATTTCGATTGGTCCATTTCTGAACTTGTTTTTCGACGCAATATATATAGTTATGTGACATTAAAACTCCTTATGAATACGCAACAATGAGAAGGCATATGAACCTCAGCAGAGATTCATAATTTGCAAGTATCATCCTTACTCTGCACCCCAACTGGTTGAACGCATCTCGACCAATTCAGCTTACTTCATGTACTCCGACTTTTATTAAGCAACACTATATTTTCAGAGAATTACACACAGCTAAACTCTCCGTTAAACATTATGTGACTTATAAAATACAAACTAATAGCGCACAGTGCCCTAATCAAAGCTCACCTTCTTGTTTCAGAGAAGTTATTGTACCTCAGTTACTTCAAAAAACACCAGGTTTTTGATTCCCTACTCTGTAGATTTCATTCCTAGTGTGTTGCATAACCCATTCGAAGTGGGTGGCACTGGGAGGTACTAAGCCCGCCACCCTTTGCCCTCCATATCTCAAATTGGTTGAGATGCATACTGAGAAATTACAATGTCTTCATACATTTATTCCCCTTTATGAATTTAAACAAAGGAAAAATAAATATTTGAAAAAGAGAAGACGTTCAGCGAAGAGACTCGTTTTGACGGCGAATTCATTCACATAGCTGTACAATCGCATTTATATATAATTATTTGTGTGTGTGCGTCCATGAGGTTTGTCAAGTTTATATAATTGATCAGCTAATACAAGAATGATCTAATATAGAAACAAGGTTAATCAGACAGTAACTAAAGTAAGATTGAGTTAGTAAGCTAGATGAAGTAATATAATTGACTAAAATATTTCAAATTAGATCACGGTAGCAACAGAGGTAATTAGAGGTAGAGACTAAGTAGAAGTGAAATTGAGCAAATAAGTTGGATGACGTAACATGAATGACTAGAAATTGAGCGTTGTTCAAGTCAGTAACAGTGGTAGTGAGGTGTAGAAATGAAATCGGGTGGGGGTAGAGAACAAGAAAGTTGAAAATGTAAAATATTACAGTTGAGAAGACAAAATAATACTAATGAAGAGACAGAAAAAAAGGATTAGGTAGAATTTACTTGTCGGCTAATAAGATAGATTACATCCATTGCAAGTGTGGTGATCGAACGAACTTCTTCTGTATGCAGAGTTCAGGACTTAGCGAGTGAATCCCCACTGCTTCTGCAGTTTGAAGAAGTCTGATTCGTACACCTTTAGGAAGACTACTTCTTACTCTGTAAAAGACTTTGAAGTGTGTTTGCGGTGTAGCTTGGTGTCCGGATTCTATCAGACGTTCTAAGATTGAACTGCGGGGGCATCGATTTTCTCCTTTGTAAAACCATGTTGGCAAGTGTGCAGAATAATATGACGCCATCATTTTTTCGTCAGATTCTCTTCAACTGCTTACAACCTAAAAGTTGATTATGTAAATGTACATAGAATTTCGTCATTCTTGCGCAATGCTCAACATTATTTTTGTGTTAACAGAGACACACACATGTTAATAAAAAACAATGTTCAGAAGTTCCACTTATATTATATAGCAACTTATGAAGGAGGTTAAAATACAAACATGCGAAATGAATGGTCGGATATACACTGAAAATTGATTTCCAACGTCGACCAGCTTAGATTTGAACCAGGTCTTCTTGTCCTCGTCAACTGAAGTAAGTTCCTTTCAGCTGATAGAATAAGTTTTCGAACTGAGCTGTGACATCGGTTCTTTTGACAAAGTTATTCAGGATATGGAAGTTAATTTCGAGGGGAAGCGCATCCATTTCATCCATTTCAAATTGACTTTTGAAGACTACCGTCTTCTAGGCGTTCCATGGCGATGTCGAGGAAGTGGAACTTCCCGTCACTTTCATGTTCCATAGTGAACTCAATATTGGCGAGTGCATCATTGAATAATCTTAGTAAGTGTGAAGCATGACTATCATTTTTGCACACTATAAATATGTCATCAACGTATCGACAGTAGGAAGTTGTTTCGTTGATTGCATGCTTCAACTTTGTTCTTTCAAGGTTGGACATGAAGAAATCTGCTAAAACAGGGCTAAGTGGACTTCCCATAGCTACACCATCTATTTGGCGGTAAAGAGTGCTGTCAAATTGGAATTGCACATCCATGGTACACATAAGGAGTAGGCGTTTGAATTCCGACTCTGGGAGTGGGAGAAGATCAGGCTGCTGACAAATGATCTCAATAGTTTCGTTGATTGGAATCATTGTGAACAAGGAGGTTACATCAAATGACACCATGAACTTATTTAATACGTTCATGTGGTTCACACTTTCAGAGAAATGAAATGAGTCTTTCATAGTGTGCACACCTAGCCGTTGACGAATAGGTTCCAACTTCTCCTCAAACCAACGTGCCACCTTATGTTGAGACGAGTTGATCATCGAAATTATAGGTCTCAGGGGGACTTGCATTTTGTGTATCTTCGGAAGGCCATACATGTGTGGCAAGTGGGACTCTCGGGGTTTCAAATCATTGTACGTATTGTTGTCAATCAATTTCTTCTTTAGAAGACCTCTCAGTGCGTTTGTGATACGTTTTCCGACAGCATCTGTCTTATCTTTTTGGCAGTTGTCAACTTTAAACCTCAGCGGGTCATTAAACACAGCTTTCATCTTTGCGATGTAGTCCTCTTTGTCCATCAGCACCACTCCTGAGACCTTTTCAGGTCCCAGTATAACAATTTTGTCATTATTCTTGAGAGCTTTCAATGCTCTTAGATGCTCTTCAGAAAGTACTTTTGAATATGACATTGGAGAAATGAAGTATTGATTTGCAACGTCGATCAGCTTAGATTTGAACCAGCTCTTCTTGTCCTCACCAACTGGAGTAAGTTCCTATCAGCTGATAGAATAAATTTTCAAAGTGAGCTGTGACATCAGTTCTTTCGACAAAGTTATTCGGGATATGAAAGTTAATTTCGAGGGGAAGCACATCCATTTCAATGCGGTTTAAATTCAGACTCGACAGATTACAGACGAACTACCCAGGATTTCTCGGGAAGACATCATATAGTTTCTCCTTTGTCACGGATTTCAACAGAGTTTTATAAAAATTTGCACATGTTTTCTGTTGAAGCTCTTGTATGAAATTGATGAATTTGAATCGGCATACTATATTCAAACTGTTTACAACACCAACGAAGGATCGGGCTTCAGTTCTCAATTTTGAAATCAGAGATTCTGTTGATTCCATATGCGATTTCGTAATGCGTCGAAGGTTTTCGAGAGAGAGGGCGGTGATTCGCAAGCACGTTGTGACTTGATAAGATTGGCGAGGAAAGCAGTGGGACTGCAAGCATTCATCGTAAAGGACCAATATAACTGGCTCCACAGGCTCAGAAGAGCTGACGGATTAAAGAAGAGGTAGCTGGTCTAGGTACTTTATCTTTCAGCTGAAGAAAAAACAACAGATCGTGTGGGAAATATGAGTTACAGCTAACCGGTATAAAATAAATTTTCATAATTCTTTTTTATGTGGAATTAATGAACTCTCTTCAATATATATTTGTTTCTCCTAATTTTACTCATTTTTCATTTAGTTCCCCCAAAATCAGTAAATTTAAATATACTGATATATGAAAATTTAAAATCAAAATTTCTAATCAATACCAAAAATCAATATAATTATTTGAAATCGTCATCGTTCCGTCGAATGAATCAAACACAAAATCAGCAATCAGTATGGCTTCACTTAAACAAATCTATTCAATTGATATGCACCACATCATCATGGAGTAAACCATTGGGAAAGATAAAGTGGTCAATAAATAATGATGATGATGATTACATATTTGACGATATTGATGATCACAATAAATCAATAAATGCCGATTTATCATCTCGTATTTCGCATTCATTTGACTTTCATTTAAAACGTAAATTCCCCTTTGATCATCATCATTTACATGGACTTATGAATAAACAGGTGAAAACAGAAGAAGAAAAAGAAGAGGAATTATTGAGCTGGTTAAATTCGGCTTATTGTGATTCAAATTATCAATGTCATATTATGAATCGAACAAAAAAATCAATAGTATTGAAATAACAATAGTGTACAACAGTGTACAGGTCAATTATTGGAATTTATTCAAACTACAGATGCAACACCAGATTATCAGTTGTAAGTACAATCTTAAAGTTTTCCTTTTTCACATTGCTGGAATGTGTTTTTTTGGTTGGCAGCTATCTTTACATTGTCATCTTGACCCCCTGACCTTGCCAACATGTGAGCGAAGAAAACTACCCCTCACACTCACCAACACCTAGCTACCTTCAGTCATTACTAGAGACCGGATTTCCGGCCGCAAAGGATAAGCCGCAGCAGCAGCAGAGAACCCTGGTAGCGAACCAACGAAGAGTCTACTACTCGACAAAAATATGAAGACGGAAATGGAGATGAATGGATAGGACATACCTCCTGAGTCGGCTATTGAATGGAATCAAGTGCCATGCAGACTCTTGAGTGAAACCTCAATTGGAAACGATGAGTCAGGTGTGGCTTCGAGTGTGACGGTGAGGAGAGATTTTTTGATTATCAGAAGACAGCTAATAACAACGTGAAATGCTGACGTTCTGTTGAAGCTACATGTTTCACTGTGAAATCAAGCGGTGACTAATCACGATGATAATGAGCCTCAGATGAAGTGGAAGCCTCTGTTCATAATTAACATCTAGTGGTAATCGTTATGTATATACGACCTGACAGTATCTTTACCTATCAAACGTCAAAGTGACTGCTCTAAACGAAATGGCTTTCTGTCAGAAATCAGCCAGTGGTCCAAGGAAAACAGTCTTATCTTAAACCCCTCCAAATGCCAAACAGTCAATTTCACCTTGAGGCATAAATCCCACCTAAACAAACTGGTTGGCTCTCACGAGGTGTGCAACATTGGTGGCACTGAAATAGAAACCAAGTCGGAAAACAAATACCTAGGCGACATTCTATCTGCTGATCTCTCCTGGTTGTCTCATATCCTGGCGATTTCTAAGAAAATATTCCGTCTTACCTTCTACATCAAGAAGTTAAGACATTCTAGTATAACCCACCCAACCCTTACTCCTACAATTCGTTAACTCTTGCATTCTGCCTATTTTTCTACATTGTTCCCCCTTAGTTTTTCCCGGGCTACTGAAGAAACACTATAACATATTGCGCAGGATGTTAAAGGTTGTCAGCAGGGTAAGCAACGTGCCACTTAACCAGCTTGTTAATATTCTGGTTGACAGGCACATGGACTCATGTGAAAAATGGGCCGAATCCATTTTATCTAACTCACACCACCCTCTTCACTCACAACTCTCCCCTTGCATCTCATCAGACAAAACCAGAAGCCTATATATAGAAAACTATATGGTCGTACCAGCAAGTACAAAAACTCAACCATACCCTACTTAGCTTTTGTTCTGTGTGATAAAGAAAGCATTAGGCGTGACACCTATAATTCATTAAATAGTCAGTAGAACTACTGGACCTCGTCTTTCCAACTCATATCATTTGTAGGTACAACGTTTTCTTTCTTTCTTTTCCTTTTCTGTGTCTCTCTTTTCTGCTTTGTTTCTTTCTTCCGCTTACGCCAGTAAATATGATAGCACCTACTTTTCTAACACCTTCAAACACTGTTCAGCTTTACCTTTGCTACCGACATGCCAATATGTTGTTGTCATAATGAACTGAGATTTCCTTAATCTATATAGAATTCTATTTATTGATAATGTACTAACTGGATGCAATACTGTAGTAAAAATGCTGAGAATTCCATTCTGTATCACATGTACTGTTTTGGAATAAATTAATATTATTATAATTACTATATATTCATATTTATGGTCTTGAATTCAATTTGTTCTTTTTCTGTTCTAGGTACCGAAGCTGGTCTATATTGAATCTCACTTACCACGGAACTATGGTTGATGAAATTCCAATCAAATGTTCGCTGGGCAATACAAACGACTTTCGTGTGGATAGTGTCCACAGAGTGAATAATGTAAATGTGAGAGATTCCTTTAATACCGATGAGAATATAGTACATTCGGATATTGAAATAAACTCTCTACTATCTCAATTATTAACTATAAATGTTATACGTAAGTTTCTTCATTAACTAAACGTGATTTGGTGATTTTCACAACACAAATTCATATCATAGTGGATATTAGTCACTAGGTGTTTTTAAAATATTGAAAAAACAAGATTAGAATTTCATTTGTATGACATTTCTTGATCACAGGGCGTCCATTGATACTCTACGCAAAATAATTAACACTAAGTTTGGTAATGAAGATTCCTGGACAAGAACAACAACAACAGACAACGATCAGCCAGCATAAATGGAAGGAACCTGAAAGAAACAACCTCCTTTACCTACCCACCTATCTGGGAAGCACCGTTTCAACTACAGGCACACGGAACTGACGAGGATATCAAAGAAAGAATCGGAAAAGTAAGACAAGCTTTCACTACTCTCAAGTCTGTGTGGAGGAGGTCAACACTCAGCACTCAGCATCGAAAATAAGATCCGGATTTTCAACTCCAATGTGAAGTCAGTCAGTGCCACTCACTACACGGATCAGAGACTTGCACTGCGCGTCATAAAGAGCATCTCAAACAATCTACAGACCTTCATTAACAGCCAATTGTCTTCGCTCAATACTACTCAAGATCAGATGGCCGGCCGGCCAGAAAAGATCAGCAACAGAGAGGGATCTCTGGCAATGAGCGAACCAACACAGCAGGAACCAACCGATTGTGCAGCAAATACGCAGGAAGAAATGGAGATGGATTGGCTAGCCATACTCTGAGGAAATTATCAAGTGACATCAAATAAATAATATTGATAGATTACAGCTGAACAGCATCAACATAAAATAAGCTGAATGTCAGAAGAATTATGAAAGATAATAGTACAAATTCATGAGTTTATAGTTTCTACTGAGGGCTGGCCAGGGCAGTGGTAGGGGCTGGACTTGTTTCTTTTGAACACAGAGCACTGATTGTTTGAGGCGAATTGCAATAGTCTCTGCTGTTTGGAGCATGCTGTGCTTAGACGATTTTTGTAGTTTGTTAGGCACCCGGTATATTATAGAGAAGGATTCTTCTACGCTGGCTGGCTTTGTGACCGGTTTGCACCAGATGGTCTAATATCGAGCTGTTAATAGTTTTAACTACACCTTTATTTAGCCATAGTAGGATATGTTCTCAAGGAAGCACGAAAAATCAAGTTCCTAGAGCAACGGCCAATATAACGCGCTCCACAAGCGCAGTTGAATTAGTAGATACAATTTGAAGTGGCTATTCTAATCTAGGTACTTCATCTTTCAGTCGAGGTAGCACCATCAGTCGTGTAGAGAATAATACGTGTAGTTCGCCAGCATTAAAAGTTCTTTGAACTGATTTTCTTAATTTCTTCGTAATTATCTCGCTTGGTGTATCGCCCATGAATTGTATTCGTATATAAAGTGCCTTCTTGTTTACAGATAGTGAGTAGTCCTTTTCCGCTTTCTTTGTCGTGTGTTTCTTGATAAATTTGTCAGGATTACCATTTTCGATCAAAGTATCATATACAATGCTTAATTTGTCTTCAATTACTTCTTCGAGCATATAGCTCTAACTCTGTGGCTGAGGGTCTTCACTAAATTTCTTTTTGGTAATTGATAGGAACGGAGCTGTGAAAGTGTGTATATTGTCCTGTCCAAGTGCTTTTCTATGCAAATTTCTTTTTATGCTACCGTCTGGTTTTCTTGTAAGTAGGACATCCAGGAAGGCAATTCTGTCTTAGGATTCCTCTTCGCATGTGAATTTCATAGCCGCCGAATGTACTTCATTGAATTCAGTAATTATTGTACTCCTATCAGAACCATTATCAATATTATTGATTTGATGTTATTTAAACAACATTAATGTCGTTCATAAGACTAATTCATTCATTCATTATAATGTATATATAATTGTAGAACCTGATGATGAATTTATCGAAAAGAGTACTCTTTGTTCCGTGTCCATTCTTTTCAAGATTTATGATTTCTTTCATCTTTTTCAGATATTTCCAATGTGTTTATGAAAATATTTTCGAATTCGGAAATACTCAAGTCTTCCAATGAACAGACAGTTGTACTGATTGAAAATCAACCTGTACATCTAGGCTGTTTTTATGAAAGATCTCATCTACCAGCTAATGTGAAATATGAATACACGTGGGTAATTCTAATTTATTTTTTTCTCAATATTATTCAAACTGACACTATTAATCCTACTATTATTATTATTAATGTTGTTCTTGCACCAACCGTCTTAGCTACGACTGAAGTGAAATATTGGCTGTCCATCAACAACGTTTTATCGTTCCCAGTTGATTAGTTTAGTCAGATAATTAGTGAAGAGTATACACTACGACGGGTCGGAAAACGTATCCACTCATGGATGAGGATGTCAAAGTTAATCTGGTGCCTGAGATTAAAGTAGGAGTTCATTCCATTATGGGTAAATTTTGTTTTGATAAAGTCTCACAGTACTATACAGTAATGTTTACTGATGACAAAGTTTCGAGCACAATTTATCACTGCTCATAATCATATCAAGGTAATCACACGACTTCCTAAATTCATTTATATAGTTCCGTTGTTTTCCACTTGATTTGATTGGTAGTAGTATTTTCCATATTTCGAGTATGAGTGGTGAATCATTTCTATTGCATATGTTGGGTGTAGACTCGATGAACAAAGGTTCAGTAATCAACCTCTCTCTCTCTCCACCTACCTAGATTACTGTTCAGAATTTTAACCCTCTCCCACCAGCCTGTTGTGTGGTTGTGTGCTAATGCATGCATTGCAATTACTGAGCTTTTTTCTAAATTACTTATCTTCTCGGGGTCAACCATTCTTACCTTAGCTAAATTCTTATGTTCTGACAATCTGACTACTCCTGACCTACTAGTTTGACCTATGTAGTTGACCTCACTGACAGTCATTGCAGGGTATTTTGTAAATTATATTATTTTGTCTAATTAGGTTAACTGGGTCCTTTAACCTACAGAGCTTGTCCTCCCTGAGTGAGTTTGTAGGTTTAAATGCCACCCTAATTCCTGCTTTATTTAGAATCCTACGTAGGGTCTCAGATGTCCCCTCTTTATATGGTATAACTGTAGATGACTTATATTCTCTCTCTTGGTCATTGAATCTACACCCAACACATGCAATAGGAATGATTCATCACTCATACCCGAAATATGGAAAATACTACTACCAATCAAATCAAGTGAAAATCAAGTGGGAAACAACGGAACTATATAAATGAATTTAGGAAGTCGTGTGATTACCTTGATATGATTATGAGCAGTGATAAATTGTGCTCGAAACGTTGTCATCAGTAAACATTACTGTATAGTACTGTGAGACTTTATCGAAACAAAATTTACCCATAATGGAATTACACTCTACCACAGTGCACAAGTTTTATTCTTATATCAATGGTAGGAGTTCATTATTATGAAATCATTGTAGGGATCTACAACACTCTCTCACCACAAAAAGAAACAATAATATCAAGTCAGTGATTCTGTATGTCTCAGACACTTGGATTATGCATCTCATTAGAAGAGTTTCCAACAGTCTGCTGCACATTGTATCCGCAACCACCTTCACTCGATGACAGTTGTGAAGATCGGATATCTGTGTGGAAAGGATAAGCTACAAGGGACTCTATCAAGCAGTGAACTGTCTAAGAACCATCCATCACTCAACAATCATGCAGCAGGAAATGGAAATGGACTGGACACATACTGGGGAGAAACTGAGGTGACACCTCAAGCCAGTCAGACGCTTGACTAGAATACAAATCAGAATCGATGAGTTGGGCCTGGGATTGAGAGTAATTTGGTGGGGATCATGTGAAAAGACGTGAAAACTTGTAAGCAGTTGAGGAACCAGCTGAAGATGATATCCCAGAACTGGTTGGAATGGAGATAAGCTGCTGAATTCGTATGTTCCACTGGGATGAACACCACTGAACACCATATTCATAGGAAGTAAAATTTCAAGCCTGTTGAAGTAATGCTGACATACGAAAGAAGCAATTTTCCTCACCTTGTTGATAATCACGTATTTATACTCCCTTCCTTTTTAATTATCGCCTAATTAATATGCAGAAATTTACTGCTTATTAACAGGTCGCTGGTTGCTTATCTTCTTTCATTACTAGTATATTTAGATCGGTTAATATTGATAAAACGTTTTAAGCTGCACGGTTTAACTGGAATTATTACGAGGTCAGTGATAACTAAAGTGTGTTAAATGATCCTCAGTGTAATTTCGGATGAAAATTCTTGCTTTGATGGTTATGATAGACTAAATAGTTCAAACATATGTGTTGATAGACCTTGAACTTTTCTTCAGGTTGTTTTAGTTTGTTTTTGTCACGTAGATAAAGGACAAATGGTGTCATTATGCGTTCGCATAGTTTGTGAGTTAATCTCAGAAAATAGTACGGATTGATTTGAAAATATTGGATGGTGTGTTTTGTAGAGTAAATCGAAGTTCTTTTTGATGAAATATATGATTTTTAATGACGAAGTAAAAATGTGGGTATTGATCGATATTCAGTGATCACTTATTATACCAGTGCTATTATTACATTGTTCTTTTGAGTTTCGGGTGGAACATAGGGCTTCAACTACACGTCTCCACTTGCTTCTGTCTTCTGCTGTACTTTTCACCTGCATCCATGTTAGTCCAAACTGTTTCAGCTCCTCTTCACACGATCTCCTCCATCTCAGACTTGGACATCCCACTCGCCGCTTCCCTTTTGGGTTCCACTCGAGCTATGGCCGGACGCGCGATGTCACCCAACGGCCTCCTCAGTGAGTGTCCAATCCATCTCCACTTTCTAATGCATATTTGTTAGGCGATTCCTTCTTGTTTTGTTTCTTCCCATAGTTTCTTGTTGGTTCTTGTTCTTTCCGACCATCTGATCTTCATTAGTATAGAACGAAGACAGTTACTTGTTGATAAAGGTCTGCGACAGGCTGTTGGAAATATTCTTTGTCACCCGCCGCCAAGTTTCTGATCCATCCGTATAGAAGAACTGACTGACTGACTTGACGTTTGTTTGTATTGAAAATCCGAATCATTTTGTTGTTGATGCAGGCTGAGTTGAGTGACAGCGGAAGATTTCCAGATTGGTTTCAGGTTGATGGATGTGTTTCTCGCCTTCCCGATTCTCTATTTGACATCGTCGTCCGTTCCTCCTGTAGTTGAGACAATGCTCCCTCCCTAGATAAGTGAATGAAGTAACCTCTTTCAAATCCCTTCCGTTGATGGTGATTGGCGATGGATGTTGCCGCTGTTGTTGTTGTTGTTGGTTGGTTGGTTATTTTCATAACCTCCGTCTTGTCTATGTTCACCTGGAGTCCTGTCTTCTCTGGCTGCTTCTTCGACCAGTTTGTCGGTCGGTTTTCGCTTGTAAGTCTTCGATTTTGTGTGACATCAAACATAAATCATCCACGCGCGAAATCCAGGTCTTCTAGGTTTTTCACGTCGGTCGGTCCAGGATATCCCTGTCTTCTCGTTTCCGCACTGTCTGACGCATAATCCAGTCCACCACAATTAGGAATATCATTGGTGATAATAAGCACCCTTGTCTGACTCCTGTGTTTACTCCAAACGCCTCGCTGAGTTTTCCGTTGTGGAGTTACATGTTGCTTATTCTTTCTTGTCATATGATCTCCATTATCGGATGAAAGCAGCAGCTGACAAAAGTCTGCAGCCTGTTAAAAATGCTTTACAACACGTCCCGATTTTCTGAGTCACAGTTATTATTTATTATTTTATTATAGCTTTATTCCACACGGTATTTTTGGTACAAGTATGAAATTTTCAGCATGTGATATCGGTAGCCCAAATTTAGCGGGCCGACCATTGATATCAGGTGTGCGTCGGCTGGGAATCGAACCCCAGACTATGTGCATGGTCGGCGAGAATCCTAACCGCTGTGCCACCGACGCACATGACTATCGGAGACACTCTCACCAACTATAACTGGCATACAAACAATGGGTTTTGTAGAGATTTGAATTAATTTCAGTGCATATTTCTTCGTGAACCGACATCATTTAGAAAATTATTGAAAATCAGGAAGTAACGGAACATTTTTTCGTCATGGTTTTGGACTTTTCATTTGTGAGAGAGAACCCATGACCTTGCCAAAGATCGAACCCAGAACTTTCATTTTACGAGGCGGGTTCGTTGAACATTCAGCTGTTTACTGAATGTTGTCTCTCGTTTCCTATTTACGACATAGTTAGTAAAACTATCTTGATATCCGGGACAGGTGTTAAATCATTGCCATAGTATGTATTCTCAGCTAATGATTCGATAAATAAAGCTTCATTCATCATTGTCTGTCTACTGCTGCACCCCCCCTAGTATTATAGATTCCATATTTGGTAAAAAAACAGCAGGTGACACTGTGGCGCGTACTACTGATAAGAATGTGTAAGTAGCATACTGTGTCTGTGATGTCTTTTACAAGAATACTGAATAGCAGAGAGATGGATTAAGTTGAGAAGAAGAGATTCAATGATATTTGGGGAGCAGAACAGGAAGTGCGTAAGGAAAACAAAGGAAACATAATGTGAAGACCTTGTTTCTGGTGTCAGCGAAACACTACTGCTGTCATTGTTTCTTTACTAATTCAGAGGATCAGAAAAGTTAACACAGAAATAACTGGCTTGTTGATAGGATCCAGCACAAAAGAGTATATTATCCTTTCTCACGAATCGTATGAATTATCTTGTGATGGAGTAACTATGCTGATCAATCGTTTCTAACACACATAATGATTTGTTGTGTGACCAATTCAAAATCCTTTGTGTCGCCTTCGTCTTTGCCGGACCGTCAACCAACCAGGATTGACATTTCCAGCCAATAAGAACAATCCATTATTACAGCGGTGATTAAGATTCCTGGGAAACACCAACAATAGCAACCACAACAACAACAGACGACAATCAGCATGAATGGAAAGAACCTGAAAGAAGCAACCTCCTTTACCTACCTACCTGGGAAGCATCGTTTCAACTACAGGCCGACGGAACTGACGAGGATATCAAAGCAAGAATCGATCGGAAAAGCAAGACAAGCTTTCACTACTCTCAAGTCTGTGTGGAGGTCAACAGTCAGCACTCAGCATCAAAACGAAGATAAGATCCGGATTTTCAACTCCAATGTAAAGTCAGTCAGTGCTACTCACTATACGGATGGATCAGAGACTTGCACTGCGCGTCATAAACAGCATCTAAAACAAAAACTACAGACCTTCATCAACAGCTTACTTTCTTCGCTCAATACTACTCAAGATCAGATGGCCGGCCGGCCGGCCAGAGAAGATCAGCAACAGAGAGGGATCTCTGGCAATGAGCGAACCAACACAGCAGGAACCGACCGATTGTGAAACAAATAGGCAGGAAGAAATGGAGGTAGGTGGATTGTCTGGCCATACTCTGAGGAAACAAGCCATCAAGTGAGTGACATCACTAGACAAGCCATTGCTCGAGTGGAACCTGGCCGAAAGGGAAGCGGCGGCGAGTTGGTCGTCAGTGCGAGGGTGGGTGACTTGGAGGAGGTCATGTGAAGAGGAGATGAAGGAGTGTGGGCAGACTTGGAGCCAGGTGAAAACTTTAGAAGAGAACCGAACGCAATGGAGAAGTGCCGCCGAAGCTCTATGAACTTGTAGGAATTAAAGGAAACAATAATAATAACAATAATTAACACGGCTGTGAGCCGACTTTATTGTGGTAAAGAAATGTATAAATATGATGTTTTGTTTCCTAATAAATGTACAATACAATATCTTACAGTCACAGACCAGTCTTTGTCTTTTGATATTTGTGTGGCTCAGTGAATCGGAAGGTGCAACGGACAAACAGATGTATAAGCGTACTAGTCAAGTTCATTACCATTATAACAATTAGCAGGCACAGATATATCAATGTAGCGATGGGGTTTATTCATTTCAGTTATAACACTGATCCTTAGATGTCGGCTTTTTTATAACTGTGAAGCACAATTCTTAATATGTTGGACTGTTGTGTCGGGAATGTGAGCTGGCTTTAGACTCTCGTGAAACAGGTTAGTTTTCTACTACTAATGAGTAAATCCATTAGAGAAGTGCAATCGGGGTGTTGCTATGGTAATCCTGTTTAGTACTACAGGAACCACAGGTTCAGACAATCGTTGTATGTGCTCGATCGAAAGGACAATTGTGCGAATCTACTTACTACCTCAGAGATTAAAACCGAATGCCAATAAGTCTGAGTCTTGTTCATAGGCACAACGATGAATTCCGCATCTGACGCGTGTCTGGACAGGCTTACACATTCCTTTTGGTATCTGGATTTGACTTCGTGCACGGCTAGGCTCATTCGGTTTGGTGTAATACCGTAAACCGTAGTCTAGATTTTCGGGCGTAAGGGTCTACACGTAATCTTATTTTAGGAGACGAGAGTTCTCCAGTAGGTATCTTATTGCAGAGCACTGAGTCCTATCCCTGTTTGGCGTAATGGTTGTCATCGCTGTATATCATTTGTGCTCTGCTGCTAATAATACTACTACTACTACTACTTTACTTCGGCTATCTCCTACGGGAGGATGAGCCGGCTTCATGAACATCTCGAATCATCGCTGCCCAGGCGCGGCGATCTGATGCAAGGTTTTGCGACAGGGTTATCCAATTCTTGTTCCACAGACGGAGTCCTTAGACGGTTTGTAGCCCCAGGCACTCCATATCAGCCTTGACCGTACCAAGCCATGTTTTCAGCTGTCCACCCCTGCGACATCGCCAAGATTGCCGGGGACGCCGTAGCATGGTGAGAGTCGTTTGTAAGAGAGTTCATGAAGTTTCATGGGAATTTGGTACGAGTGATGTTCCCAGAATCGCTCGGCCTTTTGTTTGAGATTGCAGCTCTAGCCTTTACACAACCAAGTGTGACCTATAAGGCAGTAGGAGTGGAGTAGGGAGTCCACTATTCATTGGCAGCCGGTGACCGGAGTTCGGTTCATACGCCTTTTTGAATGGGGCCAGACATCCAGGACATCCAACAAGCCCTTTGTCCATACGTCTGCCGGTGAGCTCCAGTGAGCTTCACACGCCAGTCGTTGGAGGTTTGGAATCAGGGTTTAGCCATCCCCCTAGACTGTCATCCAATGGACAGTCAACCCGGTGAAGAGCGCCGGGCATCTGCTTTTGCCCTCTCACTTTGGTGAAAAACACCTCCACCACGTGAAGGCAGTGAGTAGAACTTCCTCAGGAGAGGCTATGTAAGACGCCCGGTCATATGCCAATAATACCAATGGACTTGTATACACATAAATGTCCACTGGTTACCTCGAATTCTGCTTGTTTTTCCACCTATTTTTTATCCTTTATCTTATACAGATATTTCATACAATCTAAAAGTTACATTCCTCAGGAGAAATTAGATTCCTTACAAGCCAATGGATGGAAGTCATTCAAAAATGCTTCTTTATTGTCTTACCAATCACAACATAATCTTGTGGAATTTTTACCCGACCGGATATTTAATGGTGCAAAAGTTAACTGTCAGATCAGAGGTACAAGGTTTAAAAGTGTACAAGCTGATCGAGACATTTTGATTACATCACATCAATCAATGATGCTAACTGATATGGAAGACAGGAGAAATGAAACGAGTGACGAAACCCTAGAAGTGACTTCTTCTCAGAGTTCTATCGACTTAAATGTACACTGTAAGTTTCTACAGAGATATTCGCTACACTTTTATTCGTTTTTATTATTATGGATCCCTTCTGCTATGATCAGTTTTCCACACTAAAGACCAAACGGCCGACTAGAAAGGGTCAGTGAAAAAGAACTCTGACAGGCATCGGATCAACTCTAAGAACCAATTGCCCAGTAAATATGCCACGGGAAATAGATATAGATCAGACGCATGCTGAGGAGACCAGTGAGTGATATCACGCGCAGGTCCTTGAAGTGGGACACGGATGGCGACGCGTTGGGCGTAGGTCCCTTGGTAGCATGGAGGAGATCTTTTGAGAAAGAAATGAGATCTTATGGGCAATCGTGGAGACAGCTACAAAGGACTTCAAGGAACGGAATAAAATAGAGTTGTACTGCTGAAGCCCTACGCTGCACTCGGAACCTAAGGTAATAATAACAATAATGTGTAGAACGAATGATACATGTTACTCAACAATATGTGCATTTCCATGCACAACTGATAATAAGCCAACCGATTGTGTTAGGGCCATATCTTAGTAGATGGAGCCGGACTTGAACTCCTGACCCAGTGATTAGATGTTCAGCTCTAAGACCAGTGAGCTACAGGGTTACTAGGTCCAACAGCTAACCACGTCATTGTTATGAATGAATAAATACCTGTTAGTCAGATAGCCAATAGGCATCCGATCAGTGTTTTCTTGTGTCTTGGAACTTATCTATTTGTAGTTTGTATCCGTGAAATTATCTTCGAGAATTAAATTTGGCACTAATGTGCTTTTTATTGATTGTGCTGGAGTTAGACAAAAAGGTGTTCTGACTGATTTCGGCTACTACTAATTGACATCATTCACGGAATGCAGATAGCTGTTATATTCACGATCAAAATCACAATATCTCGGTCCTGATCGTTTCTCTGAAGAAGTTCCAGTTCGGTTCTGTAAAGCAAAACATAGTCTGTATTACTTATTTCTTTATCAATGAGATATCTACAAGTATAACAGCTTTTGTCTTACATCAGTGGACAGTTGATAAGTTCTTACCAATAAGCATGCCATTGTATCCCCCCCCCAAGCTCTGGCCACAGTATTCATTCTACTTAACAGATCTTACAGGATCCATTTCCTGGAAATTAAATTTCTAAAGGTTTTAGAACAGCTGACAAATGGATATCTAGTAGATGGTTGCTGACATTGTGTGGAATCCAGGATGCGTATTTCGTCCTATTTTGAAGTTTTGTCAGCTGGATGTGCCTGCATTCCCCAGTGAATGTTGTGTCCCCATTGACATTCGAACTCAGAAACCAAAGTCTGAAACACGCCAAAGCGTTATCCACTAGGCCACTTGAGCCGTGACTGACTGCCAATCTACGGTGTGAATATGCAGGCTAGGAGCCGACATGTGAACTGACAAGTAACATTCCAGTCCATTATAATCATTCAACGAGAAATACAAAATTAACTTAAATAAATGACAAACTGGTACTTTAGGCTGAGAAACTTTTGATAAATTTTAATTGAACAACTATGGCGTTGTGTCACAAAAGGGAGACTGATTAGAGAATAAGTTACAGGCTGTTAGATTAGCACAAACTTAAGTCAGAACATTAATCTTTAAGCCATTGGTACAAAATCAACTAGTTCGTGACTTCATACTTCTGATGACCACCATTCAGCACTAGTAGTAAATAAATAACTGTCTGTGTTTCCCACTAATTTAACTGTACTAGTCACAAATTTCTTAGTAACCAGTGTAACTAGTCATCTTTAAAGGAGCTATGGCTATCGTTGACCAGCGTCTAAAGATATACGTGAAATTTAGTCCATTTCTCACAAAACTACCAGGGAAATCAATTAGTAAGCATGTCAAGAGTAACGAGACCTCGCCTGAATGCTTCATGACCACTAGAAGATCCACGTTGTCAGTCTTCATCCATAGCCGGAGGTCGTGCACGAACATCCTAGGGTGGTACAATCAGTGTCTCTGGGATGACATCAGATGGAAGGTGGAAGACCTCATGTAGATAGTCAACTCCATCAACTGTCTTGCAGTCATATTGCTCGCGAACATATGGACTACGGATATTGATTGCGGCGTGATTATAGTATGTATAGGTGTCAGTCCTTGGAGTCTGGGTTGCATTGTTCACAACTTCACAAAAGGTGTAAAACACGAGGTTCACTTAGAAGTCATTAGTCGTCTTTGTCACCTTCAATTTCTTCAGGAGACGAACGATTATTAAATCTTTGGAGAATTCTAAAAGTTCAGTTCATCATGTAGTTAGCTCTGAAGGTATAAGAATAGAATCTGGCCACTGTAGCAGAGTATATTTCCATCACAGAATAATTTCATTAGATATGACCTTTCGAGCATACTTTATTACTCATAATCATATAAAGACACTCACATAACTTTCCATTTTCATCTACATAATTCCCCTTCTTCTCATGTTTTGATTTTATCGATAGTATAATATGTTCGATATCTCCAGTAATGGTGTTGAATCATTCCTACTGCACGTATAGATTCTATGAACCGAGATTTGGCGGTCAAACTCTCCTTCGATTTAACTCTATTCTATTTGGAACCGTAGCTGTAACCTTCACTCTGTTGTGTGTGACTGTGTGCTCATTTATGTATTGCGATTTCGGAGGTTTTCTCTACATTGTTCGCTTTCGTGGAAGCAGCTAATTTCTTATGTTCCTGATGATCTGACTACCGTCCCCCAAATCTATGGGTCTGACCTATGTAGTTGACCTCACAGTTATTGTAGTGTATTTTGTAGATTACATTATTTTGTTTATAATTGGGTCAATACAATTGTGAACAATAAACTGAGCCCGGATTGTCATCAGTAAATAATACTGTGTCACTTTGTGCTTTCAACAGACGAGTTTATTCCATTATATCAATAAAAATGTTGTCTAGAAAGACAATAAAAGTTTCGCAATTCAATTATCCAGTTCAAAGAACTTGAATGCACCAAAATTTATGATACTCTTAAACACTAAAGACAATCGTTCATCTTCAAGTATTGGTTTTGTAGGGATTTTGTTTGACTGAATGGAGGATTTCATCATAAGCTGACATCAGTTAGAGAACCACTGGAAAACCTGGGAGTACCTGACAGTTTTTTCGTCCTAGTTTGGGACTCCTCAGCGGTACGCACCCACCGGGGCTCGAACCCAGGACCCTCTGGTTACAAGGCGAGCTCGTAGACCATTGAGCCACTGGGACCCAATCCAATGGTTCTTGAATTCCAACTTCTGCCAATTCACGACATAGCGCGACCATTTCGCAATGTCTTCTTAGATGAGTTACTGCCTCATCTTCAACCTGCTGCACCCTACTGGTCACAACAACAAAAAAAGCAGTAGCAGCATCCAGCACCAATCACCATCGACGGGAGGGATTTGAAAGAGGTTACTTCATTCACTTATCTAGGGAGCATTGTCTCAACTACAGGAGGAACGAACGAGGATGTCAAATCGAGAATCGGGAAGGCGAGAAACACATTCATCAACCTGAAACCAACCAATCTGGGAATCTTCGTCACTCGACATCAACAACGAAACTCGGATTTTCAATGAAACGTCAAGTCAGAAACTTGGCGGTTGCGTCACAAAGAATATTTCCAACAGCCTGTTGCACACCTTAATCATCAACTGTCTTCGCTACATACTACTGAAGATCAGATGGCTGGAAAGAACAAAAACCAACAAGAAACTATGGGAAGAAACAAAACAAGAACCAATCGCCCAACAAATATGCAGGAGAAAGTGGAGATGGATTGGACACTCGCTGAGGAGGCCGCTGGGTGACATCGCGCGTCAGGCCATATCTCGAGTGCAACCCGAAAGGGAAGCGGCGAGTAGGACTCGGTGCAAGGGTGACATGGAGGAGATCGTGTGAAGAGGAGTTGAAACGGTATGGACTAACATGGATGTAAGTGAAAAGTGCAGCATAAGACAGAAGCAAGTGGAGACGTGTAGTTGAAGCCCTATGTTCCACTAGGAACCCAAGGGAACACTAATAATAATAGTTAAACAATAAACACAATCGCTGATCATTTGAATGAATGAACAACCCGTAAAGTTAAAAATTTAATGTTTGACAGGGATACTTTTTTTTCATTTCAGATGGACCAGAAATTCATAATCCTGAGGATCAATTTTACCCAGTTTATCTCTGTACAAAATTCAACCAAGGATCACAAACTTCTTGTAGCAATAAAGTGACCAGTCCACAGAATATAACATTACAGGTAAGTGACATCTTTTTCTAGCTTGTCAAGTTAACATATGATTTGTTTTGAAAGAGTACTATGGAAAAAATTCAATTGTCAGCAGTCTGCACTTAGCAGAAACTGCTAGGCAACCGCTAACTCCCTTGGCTGTCCCAACCGTCATAGTCCATTTTGCATCTTAGTAGAAAAATTAAGGATCTGTTAGAACCTTCATATCTGTCGGTGGCATAGCGGTCAGGACGCTCGCCGACCATGCATATAGTCCAGGTTTGATTCCCGGCCGACGCACTCCTTTACCTCGCTAAGCCAGAAATAATGCTGGTGAAGAGGAAAGGTTGGGCACGAGGCTGGCAACCCCATCCTGTAAAAATAAACACTGCTACAGAAACTTCAAGCCACTAGCTTGAAGCCCTATGTTTTACTGGAAACGTGAAGGGAAAAATAATAGAGCCTTCATCATAAAAAATACTTGCAAAATACGTCTGTCTCTCAATCCTTTTCTCTCTCCCTCGAAGAACAAGATTTCATAATCATCAGAATATACAGATAGGGACATTCCACCGTTTCTGAAACGATGAAAACTAGATGAATTCTTGATTGGAAACAAAACACGCAGTTGAGTGAAGAGTCTCTTTTCGGTGGTGAATTTATTCACTTAGCCGTACAATCTCGATTATATATACTTATTTTTTTGTATGTGTGTGTACATTAGGTTTGTCCGATAAGAATATGAAAATTAGTTAGGGTTATTGTTGTCAAGACATCGCGAAAATGTGATGCGTAATCAGATCGTAACTAAGGTGTATAGTGGTGAAGATTGGTAAGAGGGTAGTGGTGACGCGTTGTCAAAAAAAGAACACAGTTGTTAGTGGTAATCAACGCATTGGGTCACCTCAACGTGCATATACCAGTTTACCTGCTCTTGTGGAGCTGAGTACATCGGCCGTACCATGCGCCGACTTGAAAAACGCGCTCGCGAACACTTCCCAGCCTGGCTAGTAAAAGGAGACCAAAAACGTGTATACAGTTCAGTGACAGAACATCTGGTCAACTCAGGACATTCAGCGCCTTTCGAAAAATCCTTCAACGTCATATACAAGATTCAATCAAACCTATCAAAGGGAGTGAAATCAAGGCATTTGGGCATGGCTGAGGCGTTAGCTATCCAAAAACTCAAACCCACACTTTGTATCCAAAAGAAATACGTCCAACCCCTGTCCCTGCCATGGCCATCATAAACAGGTAAATTTTTTTAGTAATGACCATTCCATCGCCTTTCTTATCTAAACTTCCTGTTTATTCATGTTATCTTACTATTTCTACATATTTAATCCCTGATTGTATAAACAATTATTCATCACACTAATTTTTTATCCAAACATCCTGTATATTTTGTTATTTTTACATTTCTAACCCCCAATTGCACAATGTCTATCATCTTAGTTATTATGCTACTTTGTTTGAGTTTTACCCATCCTCCTGTTTATTATGGCATTCTAATTCCTAATTGTAATTTTTATTAATTTGACCCCTAACCAGAAATTATTCTGGAACTTTCCTATCCATTTGATAAAAATACACGAATGTACAGCCTAGATGATGACTTCGTCGAAAAGAAAATTTTCTTCGCTGCAATTGTCTTTTTATTCCCTGAAAGCGTTATACTGTTACATAATAAGATGAATAGTTTAATGAAAGAGTGATGATTAGGATGCACATAGAAACAAAGGAAAATATGGAATTATGTAACAGTTCTAAAGATAACAAATGGTTTGAGGATTTAGAAAAAAACAAGCATACAAATATCAGTACTTCGATTGTACACTATTCAGTAACTAGTGCGATGTGTCTAGTCCTTTCTTTGGTGCAGACTGAATTCTATCAGTCACGTTTGCAGTGTGGCCACCATTCTAGGTAGCTCACCATCACAGTATACATTGATTTGATGATATTAGATGGTTGGAAGCAATTGGCAGGAGGTCAGTCGCGAGCCCGAATAGCTCAGTGGTAACGTCTATGACTACAGTAGTGGGTGACGCCAGTTCGAATCTCAGAAGGGACATCAGTTCCTTCAAGGCTGCAAATAAGCCTTGCTGGCTGGTGAGTGCCAGCTAGCATGAAACCTAGGTCCAAGGCTTCCTGCCGATTGTCTCAAACCATCTGTTATCATCACACAAAAGTCAACACAACTGTTACCATGACAGTAGAAGTGGCACTGTGATTTTCTTTTGTATACATAACTCTGGTTTCGCCAAATGAATGGCTAAGGCTTCAGCAGTACAAAAGAGACGAAAGTGTATTGCCCTTGGTAGGTTATTCTTCCCCACTCTGTAGATCACCTTGAAGGAGACATTTGTTGAGATGGAATGACCAGTGTTTTGACGAGATGTTCAATTATTGCATTCTAGATATACATACATCTATCCTATTTCTTCGTTTTTATTACTACAATCATAAAAGTTTGGTTGAGTGAGTACTGCTCAGTGTTCAAAGCTTACACACAATCTGATAAGAACACAAGCTTGATCCCCAAAAGGTGAATTAGGCAATCCCATTAAGCTGCAGTCAAAAATAGCTGAGTCGCTGTTAATGTTTGTTTGTCGGTTGTTTTTTCAAAGACTGAGTTTTCAAAATTCTTTGTTGATGTATCTAAAAATCGCGAAAAATACCCATTTATTCATAAGTAAAAACACAGTTTTTTTATTCAGCGAAGAAATTCCTTTTCAACGACTTCATTTTCAAGCTGTACAGTCGTATTTATATTACAGAAAAGGTTATTAAGTGGCACTAAATAATTGCGTAGTCAATATACATATATAAGTGATAAGAATAACGATAATTAAAATGTTATAAGGGGTAGAGTTGAAGTGGATAAATTACAAAATTATTAAAGATTGTTTTATAAGTGAATTGAAATCAAAAATGTTTTAAAAATGTCAAGTGTTGTCTAAAAATTTTAAAAAATTAGGAGTACGATTACGATAAAAAGGAAGATGTGAAGTGAAGTGGAAAGAATTCAAGTAGTGAAATAAAATAAAAACTAGAAAGAACATTACTATGACCAAGGTAAAGAAAGGGGTTTGACAAAACGTTTTTGAACACATAATTTAGCTTTCTGTTCATGTATAGCTAAAGCTTCGGCTATGCATAAGTGAAGAAAACGTAAACTTTTGGATCGATTCGATTTTGCCATGTAGATAACTTTGAAAGATGAATCACGTGGGGCTAAATGACCTGACTCTAACAGGTGATCACAAATAGACGACTTCGACATTCTACGTTCGCCTTTCATTAACCAGACTGGATAGTGTTCAGCTACACGTTTCCGGAGATTACGTTTACAGCGTCCAATATAAACAGCTCCACAAGAGCAGGTAAAAGAGTAAATACACATAGATGTGGACAAAAGCCGTAATCTATCCTTGACGCATTGTCTAATCATATTTCGGCTGGTAAAAACTAGTTGTAAGTCAGCTGCAGGAAAAGTACGTTTAATACATTTAGATAAACGATTTTTAATTATTTCCAAAATGGTGATTGTGTCAGTTTTTGTTTCTGGAATTATTTCAATTCATTTTCATTTCTTTCAATTAGATCTCATCAGGCTTAACTCTAATATATATGTATACATATATATACATAGGTTTACAAATAGAAATTCAAATATAAACCAATCATGGTGTTTTGTCTATAGGATAATAAGATGGTGAATATAAATTGTGCAATTAGTCATAATAGTAGTAATGATAATAATAATAATAATAGTAATAATAAAAATGGTTTTATGAATAATAAGGATAAAAAATTGAGGCAATCTATGATAACACGAATAATGAAAAAACAGTATGATTAAACAAACAACTGTTCAGGTGGAAGTAGTCGATAAAGGCTAGTAAAAACAAATGAACCGATTAAGTAATGTTAGATTGTAAGGGAAGGAAATGAAACACGTTTATAATGAAGATGTGATAAGATTAAGGGATGATAAGAAAGGGGTTGAAAATATAAACAAAGGGTGGTGTAGAAGTCATTAGTTGGTTATGTCTTAATAGGCCAAGGGAGGGATAATGGCTGTACGAACTTCTTTTGAATACATAGTTTAGGTTTAATAGTTCGAATACCTATCGCCTCAGCTGTGTGCAGTAAACGAATACGAAGTCTATTGGAAAGATTCGGTGGGATACGATGAATTACTTTGAAGGCTCTCGTTTCTCGATTACATGACCACTATCAATTAAGTGTGACAAAACTGAACTACGGATTGTTTTTTCTGTCATTTTCCAAACCACCACGATGGGAGATGTTCACTAACACGTTGACTAAGCTGTCTAGTAGTATGCCCAATATAACTGTCACCGCAGGTGCAGTTGAATTGATAAATGCACATAGATGTGGCAAATATATCAAGCTTATCCTTCGTTTGTGTCCCAATCATTCGTCGGCTAGAGAATGACAAACATAGGTGTGCTGCATAAAATGTTCTTCGTATACTCCTTGAAAGTCTTTGGAATAGAATCTCACTTGACAACTGATACATAAAACGTAAAAGATACTCTCTGATTCTACGCATCGTTTCCCATTTCATTACTACCTGTTTTGAAAATAAAAGGATTCCGCTCTTATTACTAAATATTATTCTCGTTTGTCTTGTTCTACTTTCCAATTAGTGTCGGACAGATTTCAACCCGCCCGGTCAGATTCAATGGTTTCAATGGCAACCAAGCCATCGATCCTTAGTGTATATAACAAATGGACAAACTTTACAATTCAGTATAGAACAATTAAAAGATTTATTCAAATATACAGAAATAACTTCACATAATTTATGGATTATTGATAATTACTTTTCAAAAAATAAAGAAGTGATACCAGTTGTAGGTGAAAAATTGATTTTCAAATTATGGAAATTTATATGCATTGCTAGTTCAGATGGATTCAATAATCAATCGGCTAATCGATATGTAGTAGAAGCAAGTAAGTTCTGCTTTGGTGTACATCATATACATGTTTTTTTTTACAATTTTTCAACTCATCAAACATATTCAGTGTTAACGCGTATTCTGTCCTTTAACGCAGACCAGGAACACAAGGATGATTATATGACGTATCCCGTTTTCGAAGTGGTGCCAACTGCTTTATCCGGTGATTATGGTCGCGTCTCCAAAAATAGGTCGAAATACACCAGCCTTCGAACTTATTGCATCCTTTAATCCATGACACTGAGCAGATATCAGTATCAAGCGAAATTTCCTGCTAAAAATGCAACAAATGTAACACAGTTCAAGAATATAATCCAGCCAATTAAATCAGAAAAACTTTGTTGTGAAATTTCATTTGAAAAACATGTAAAACTTGTCATTAAACCACCGTTGCAACGGGCTACGATGCTACAATTATCGGGGATGTGCAACAACACCACTCGAAAGCAATTAGGGAGCGAAATTTAAAAAAAAAACACAACTGCATCGATGCTTTTAAGCCATGAATCGCGTCTAGCTAACTAGATAACCGCGAGAGGTGACATGACACCATGTGAAATGCTATGTATACCTGACTGTGTTCCTTCGGCTTATCCAGCCGACTGAAATACTAAACACTAGTGCTTAATTAATGTAAATGTAGGACTTCGGCAATGTGGTAGAGTGTAATTCCATATTATTATTATTATTATTGTTCCCTTGGGTTCCTAGTGGAACATAGGGCTTCAACTACACGTCTCCACTTGCTTCTGTCTTCTGCTGTACTTTTCACTTGCATCCATGTTAGTCCATACTGTTTCAACTCCTCTTCACACGATCTCCTCCATGTCACCCTTGCACTGACGACCAACTCGCCGCTTCCCTTTCGGGTTCCACTCGAGTTATGGCCTGACGCGAACCCAGCAGCCTCCTCAGCGAGTGTCCAATCCATCTCCACTTTCTCCTGCATATTTGTTGAGCGATTGGTTCTTGTTTTGTTTGTTCCCATAGTTTCTTGTTGGTTCTTGTTCTTTCCGGCCATCTGATCTTCAGTATAGAGCGAAGACAGTTGTTGATAAAGGTGTGCAACAGGCTGTTGGAAATATTCTTTGTGACCCGCCGCCAAGTTTCTGATCCATCCGTATAGAAGAACTGACTGACTGACTTGACGTTTGTATTGAAAATCCGAATCATTTCGTTGTTGATGCTGAGTTGAGTGACAGCGGAAGATTTCCAGATTGGTTTCAGGTTGATGAATGTGTTTCTCGCCTTCCCGATTCTCGATTTGACATCCTCGTCCGTTCCTCGTGTAGTTGAGACAATGCTCCCTCCCTAGATAAGTGAATGAAGTAACCTCTTTCAAATCCCTCCCGTTGATGGTGATTGGCGCTGGATGTTGCTGCTGTTGTTGTTGTTGTTGGTTGGTTGGTTATTTTCATAACCTCCGTCTTGTCTATGTTCACCTGCAGTCCTGTCTTCTCTGGCTGCTTCTTCGACCAGTTTGTCGGTTTCCGCTTGTAATTCTTCGATTTTGTGTGACACCAAACATAAGTCATCCGCAAAATCTAGGTCTTCTAGGTTCTTCCATATTAGTTAGATAAGTTTATTTTAAATATCACACAGTGATGCAGTAGTGACAACGGGAAGACGTTTTGAGCATAAATTATTACTGCTCATAATCATATCATTTTTAGTCACACGGTTTCACAATTTGTCTTATATACATACATATTTATATTCTGGCTCTCCAACTTTGATGTTTTTTTGCCACTTCCGATATCTCCCGTATAGGCGTTGCTTCATTTCGATTGCATGTGTTCGGTGTTGAATCGATAAACAAATCTTCAGTGATTAATCTCTGCACGAATTGAGGTGCAAATTTCATTACAGTCTCCTTTTTGACTATTGTTTGGATGATTAACTGATAGGTCGTTAGGACTGTGGGGCAAAGTTAAACTTTAACCAACCAGGAACTACTGGCCAGCACCAATTACAGGAAAAAAGATACTTTTAGGCTATGGAATAAATACATTTGTGAAGATGATCTATAAAACAAAGGCATAAAAATGTTACAAGAGACACTTGTTTCTGACGTGTAGCAAAAATGACTCCCGATTTCCTATAGGCATATCTACATGTGTTCATTTAAATGGGAACACCATTATTCACCGGGGATGCAGGTACATCCAGTCAACTGACGAGCCGTTAATAGGATGAAATGAGCATCCTGGATTTCACTGCTATTCACCATCCACCAACTGACTTCAAGTTACATGACGCGACATCGTAGAAGCACATGCACAAGGATATAATAATAATTTGCTTTATTCCAGAAACAGTACTAGTGGTACAGTGTGGAATTTTCAGCACATATCTACAATATTTGCATCTAATTTTATCCAACGTTTAAATGGAGCATTTCAAAAAATAAATAAGTATAAGGACAACAACAACAAAAAAAACACAAAAACAATATAAAAAATGCGAAAAAATACCAAGAAGTAGAAAGGAAAATAAAAACATCATATAATAATAATTCAGTATTGGGTAGTGGAAGCTATGATATGATTATGCATGGTGACAGTAAAGCTATAGTCATACAAGAAGTTATGAAATGATATTTAAGAATGTTTATCTCCAAGATGATCAGTTAATTTGGTTGAAACAACCATAAAATAACAATTCAGGGTTGTTGTTTTGTTTTTTATTGTCAGGTCTAATGCAGTGTTTGTAGTGGTAGTGTTAGTAATCCTTCAAAATACAAAATTTTGAGATGATGGTAATGGCGTTCACAACCAGTGATTGTCAGTTAATACTGCCGAACAAAAAAACAACAACCACAAAAACTAATAATTACATGATGGTTAATGACAGGAAAATTTTGTAATACTCATAGTGCTAATATAGTCGGAACCAGTAGATAGACAAAAGAAGGAATAGAGTAAAGTACAAAAAGGAAGCCAATGTTAATAATTTAGGTAGCTGAGTATGTTTAAGAAGGAGTTCATTGTAGAATACAAATAAGAGAGAAATTAAAGAGCCTAAAATTATGATTATTAACAACAAAGCAAGTCATAGGTTTCGTGCTTAACATTATCTCTGTCGCTTAGAACACGGGCCAAATATGGTATCGTTGACTTCCTGCACTTGGTTATCCTAGCATAGATTATTTTATACTGATTTCTGGTTCTACTTGATTAGATACAAGGCGAGAGTTGGGAATAGAGGGGGTGCTTTAGTCAGTCACTAAAGTGCATTAACAAGTTTCAAGGCATTACGTAAACCTGGGCTAGTAATAGACATAATAAGAAAGGTTGTGAATTCGCAAAAGATCTCAAATAAACGTTTGTCAGTGAAACGAAAGCTTTGAAGTTAGCGAAAGTGTGATGGGGATTTAAAGAGCTAATTATCATTTTATGAAGAATTTGTTGACATTTTTATATTTTCAAGTATTGGTTTTGTAGGGAATTTTGTTTGATTGCATGGAGGGTTTCATCGTTATCTGACGTCAGTCAGAGAACCACTGGAAAACCTTGGAGTACTGGACAGCTGTTTCGTCCTAGTTTGGGACTCCTCAGCAGTACGCACCCACCAGGGCTCGAACCCAGGACCTTCTGGTTACAAGGCGATCTCGTAGACCATTGAGCCACTGGGACCCGATCCAATGGTTGTTGAATTCTATCTTCTGCCAATTCATGACATAGCGCGACCACTTCGCAATGTCTTCTGCGATGAGTTACCGCCTCACCTTTTGACCTGCTGGACCCTACAGGTCCTACGAAACTAATACTTGAAAATTAATCTGATGTTCACTAGCGACTGCCTCTATTCAGACAGTTAACCTGGGGTTCTAGTGGGAAGCCGTGACCAGTAGGGTACAGTGGGTCAAAAGATGAGGCAGTAACTCATCGCAGAAGACATTATTATGGGCCATTGTGAACAAAGCGGCTGGACATATTTCTTCCGAATACGGAGACCAGGCGCTGGAAATTCATCAATACAACCCTGAACTCTGTATGCAGGAAAAGTTTGTCCAGTCTCTTATCTACCTTGGTCTTAACCTTCTCACTAATCGTTCCCTGTAAAAAACATTTTGACTGTTTTCTTTTTTCTTTTTTGTAATTTTTAATCTTACTTTTAGTTTGCTTTTGCTTTAATAATTAATTCACTATTATCACTCTCATATGCTACTTTTGTATATTTTCACACCCTCTTCACACTTGTTAAATTGACACTGAAATACCTTTATTCTGACTCAATAGCAATTTTAACCTTATCAAATTTCTATCTTTGTTCCGTTGAGTACCATTTGAAGTTATCTTTCGTATTCCTTCCAAGCTCAGTTTTACCTGAGTAGTTTGTCTTTTGCATATATTTGAAGCTATCGGTATTTACCGGGAGAAGTCTAACATTCAAGCTCATGTGTAGTTCGCACAGTCACTCTTCTTGTCATGGCGTGTTTATAAAAATCGAACAGTTTACCTCTGACTAACAGATAAAGGCAGACAGATTCAGATTCAGTTGATAAGGATAGAAGGTTCTTGTGGCTTGTGTTAATCCTTGCAAAATATATCTCTGCAGAGATCTAACTTGTCTTTGAAAGCGTTCACCGATGGAGCTGATACTACTGAATCAGGTAAGGAGTTCCAGTCGTTGACCACTCTGTGAGAGAATCTGAATTCTGCACGTATTTTTATCGTCCTCGGTTTGAGCACCTTTTTGCGGTGACCCCGTAAATGTATCCTAGAAGGGGAGAAAAGTTTAGAAAGGTCAGTTCCTAAATCACCCTTAAGTATACGGTATGCTAAAATTAAGTCGCCTCTCTTCCTTTGGTATGATAACGGGAAGAGATTTAAGTGCTCCATCCTCTTATCATAAGGAAGGTGTGAGATACCACTAACTAATTTCGTTCCTACTCTCTGTACTCTTTCCAGGATATGTGCCTCCTTTTTGAAGCATGGACCCGCCGCTTGTATGCAGTATTCTAGATGAGGCCTGACATATGTTGCGTAGAGT